GAAAGAGTTGTATTGAAAACGTTTTGTTGCCTTTGATTGGGCCCCTCGGGCCTGGCACTGCCCCTGCATGCCAGGCTTGGGCTCTGGGGCCCAGTGCCACCCCTACCCAGCCCTGCACACTGGATTGGCCATCTTATCCAGCATACAGGGCCTGGGGCTCCCTATAGATCCAGAAGTTTGGCAGTAGGGGAATGGTGCCACTGCCCTCCCCCTTTCCCCATCCCCCCTGCCGAATTTCCAGACCTGTGAGGAGCCTCATGGGCTGGATGACAGTACCGTGGTCTAGATCTGGTTCACGGGCCAGGGCTTGAGCATCCTTGGTCTAGAACATATGTAGGCAGAATGCACAGGTCCTCAAACAGTTATTTATTAGGAAAGCCTATAAAACCAAAGTTTGATTCCTGGCAAATTGTTTTCATCAGGAGGAGAAATGGATGGTGGAGCATTCACCAAGCAGCACCATCAACAGCCCACTGCCCTCACAGTTCAGATTATTAAATAGACTAGCACATGCCTCATTTTTTTTTCTTTCATTTATCTGAAATAAAGGTGGATTGTTTCAACAAGATTTAATCCAACCTATAATGCATCGAAGGCCCTGTGTGTTTTTTTTAATATATTAAAAACACAGTTCTACAAGTAAGAGTACAAAACATCTTCTCCTTGAGGCAGTACCAAAAATTGAGAATCAAGCCAAACAGTATCCCATCCCACTCCCCATCAACTGTCTTTGGCACATTTTTTTTCTTACAAAGCCTGGAAAACATAGATATGCTTTGCAGTGTATCCTTATTAGTAATGAATTTGAAGTGTTTGAAATCAAATGTCAGGCTGTCAGGTCCTTCTCTGTCCCACAGGATTGCAGCTGTGGCTCTGTTATGTTTGCATGCACACATATGCGCACACATGCACACACACACACACACAGCTTTCTTGTAGGTAGGTTCAGAGACATTTAGAAATTTAAAGGTCAAGACTGCTACCTTTACATAACACTGGGCAACTGCTAGGAAGCTAATCCAAATCCTGGAATGCTGGTGGTATACTCTTAATTAGATATACCACTTAATAAGTGAGTTGCCTCATTTTTCCCCAGCTTGCATTTCCAGGTGAATTTTGGGTATAGCTGCAAGTAGGGTTTACTTAAGTAAAAAAAACAGGTCTGCTACCTAGCCCTGACTTTTCCCCAGGTTAACATATTTCACTTTAGTTTAACCAGTTGAGGTCCATGCTAAGCTCCCCAGGATTTATGTTTTCTAGGAAGGTGGTATAGGTCAAGCTGAATGCCATCAATCTCTTGTTGGCATGCTCACCCCTTTTGAAGTGCCAGCTCTCCCAAGAGTTTTTTCTATGGGTTTTGAATACTAGGAAGGAAGATTATTGCGCCTTTTGGGAGGTAAGCATATTGAAGGTAGAGGAGGATGTCCACTAGGGCCATTTCACTTGGTCTCAGCATGGGAGACCAGAACTATTTCAGGTACTCCAATCCACCACAACAGACCCTTGCAGGCAGAACTGTATTTTGTGAACAGTGGTCTCAAACACCAGAGATATGAGCGTGGATGTTTTTTCCTTGTCTCTGGACTAAGGGAGTCATCCTTCAAAACAGTAAGTTTTGCCACTGTCTGGTGTAGGTACGGCTCTAGGGCAGAAGCATTTGCTGGTTGCAGACAGTGTACCAGCGCGTGTGTCACAACCTGTGACACATGCAGAGAGATGAGACAGTTCTGAGGTGCTTGGAATTGTTTTGCCACAACTCTACATATGCTTAACCAGAGATATAAGAGAAGATGCAGGGTCGTCCAAGTCAAGTAATGGTTTCATAAACAAATGTCAGAAACCTCCTCAAAAGAGGCCAGCAGTTATTCTGTCTCTAAGGAAGGCAGGTTCATGTTCTTTCATTAGGACCCCAATTTCTCCCCAACCAGAATTAGGTCATTGCTGTTAGATAACTGCAGCCCTGGTACTGACATCCAGCTCAAGTGGCAGATTATGTCCCAGAATTAACGCTCTTCTAAACAGCCAGTCTGGTGTAGTACAGTTACGATGAGATTCTTGGGATGAGGGAAAGATATTCTCTGTTTCTGACAAATAGACTTTCACAAAGAGACATCTGCTCTTGTTTCTGATCTTGGGATTATGCTTGCTTCAGTTGCCTTAAAATAGGAGCTGAAGGCTGGAGGACAGGGTTGTTTGGGTCGCTAGCAGAGGCAGAGACTGCCGACACAGTTTTGCATGCTCACAATATTATTCTGACTTCTTTGGACAAAATACTGAAAATCTAGAGCAGGCAGAAAGCTGGAAGTATTCTGTGTAATGATGCATGACCAGTTGCTTTTTGTTAGACAAATTATCAAGGAATTCCCAAATCATGTCACATCATTACATGATTTGCATATGCAAAGTGCCCTTTTCTGGTTATGTAAATTTAGCATTTGTCCATTCTGGTGACCTTTGAAAATTTACCCCAAACAACCTATCTATATTTTCAAATTGTTTCTTTGTTGAAGCTAATTTCAGCTTTTTACACGATAAAACCTCCTCTTTTTAAAAGCAGCCACAGCCACCAGTAGGTTGTTATTGTTGCAAAGGGTAATACTATCACTGTTTTTTGCTAACCTGGTTGGTCAGGCTTTGGGGTAAGCAAAACTGAAATAGCGAGCCCTGTAACTAAGGGCCCCTCAACATGTGCAGGCACAATGGGATCTAATGCACAATCCACACAATCACACCCTCTGCCATGCCATACCTGCATCAGATCTCATCATGCCTTATTGCTGGTCTCCACCTGCATGGCCAGAAGCAAGCTCCTGCAGCTGGGAACCCCCCTCAGCTGCTCTACATGCCCCCACAGCTGAGAGATCACATGAGCTGCAGTCTTCTAGCTGCGGGGGTGCATGGGGCTGGGAGCCCTGTCAGTTGGGAGCTCCCAGGCTCAAGGATGGACATGGGCCTCCCCAGTGGGGAGCTCCAATCAGCTGATGGGGCTCTCAGCCACAGGGGCCCCTGGCCACAAGTTTAGTTAACAGTGTGATAGGAAGCAGCTACAAAATTATTCCACATATTTTGTGGAATAACTTTGTAGCTTATTTCTTTTTAGCGCACCATTAATTGATTGAACGTGTAGCCA